CAAATTTTAAAATTTGCCAAGGTCAAGAAACACTGCTTCAGAGAGATGAAGGAGGTTCAAATGGGCATCAGGAATGAAAATGCTAAGCCAAGTCCTGTGCTTTCTTTCCAGCTACTCACAAACAAACAAATTGGTCTGAAGAGATACGAGGTGGATGGCCGGAAAGTTCTTTTCTATTTTGATGAGGTAAGACCACCGTTGATCATAGTCCTCACAAAAGTGCTTTTGTTGATCCCATCCTGCTCATCTGAAGCAAGCATTAATTTACAGGATCTCTACCTCACCCATGAATGAAAGGAGAAAAGGCTGATAGTGCTATCTGTTAGAGCTGAGATGCCATGAATGTTGATCCATTCTTCTGAATGGATCAAGAATCATGGCATCTCAGCTCTAACAAATTCTTACCTTGGCTTCAGTGTGGTAAACCAAGAGCCAAAGAGGGTTGAAATTATAGAACTGGGTGTCCAGGATACACCAGACTTAGTCCCTGGTAACCCTTTGCTTATTAATAACTTAAAGAACCCATTACCCAGATCATGATGAACACTCAAACAATGGCTTATCCCTGACTCCAAACACAGGAGCCCATTTGCTGACAAAATCTAAAGTACCTCCTTGCAATTGACTCTTTTTCTTCAGCCCCCTTTCTGAATTAGAAATGTTTCTGGGATTAATGGTCCCTTCTATAGTTGTCCCTTTAATGGTGCTGCTGTTGGAGGGGTGGGGGAAAGCTCCCCAACGCTCTTGACTCAAGACCTAAAGAGTTAAATCACATCTGCAGATTCCAAGCCAGTGTATGACCTGTGTCAAGTTTATGGCCTTCCGGGAATATATTGTGGGGAAGACGGCTCCCTTGCCCATCAAGGTGTATGACTACTATGAGCCAGGTGTGTATGTGCCTCCACAGCCATCCCTTGAGCCCAAGCAGCCATGCAGCCCCTAACAGCCTGCCCTTCCTCCATCCTGCTCTGCAGCTTTTGAAGCCACCCGTTTCTACAATGTCAGCGAATCCAGTCCTCTGGCCCGTGAGCTCTGTGATGGTCCCATGTGCAACGAGGTGGAGAGTATGGCCAGCCACTGGGTTGGTGAGTCCTGAAGCTAATGAGAAAGATGAAGACTACAGCATCATCCATTTTCCTTCTCCATGCCATCCTTCTTACTTTCGTTCTTCCCTGCAACACATGATGAGTTTGGGTGGCTTCCTCCCACACCAATCTGGGAATCTATCCCCAAGTGCTTGAAGCAGCTTTGGGTAGGAAATAATTAGCTCCAGGAGCTCATGATGCTTCCTACTTATTCTCCCTTTTTACACAGGAAACCATACAAGCCACTAAGAGTTTTGCAATCCCCCTTGCACACATTTAACCACCCCTGGCTATCTCTGCAGGTTTTATTCACACGGGGCCTTGCAACAACATCTTTGGTTGCTTAGAGGATGGCTATTTTGAGCAGTGCATGTGTTCACGCGACTGTGGCTATGACGGGGAGCTGGTGTGTGGCTCAGATGGTCTTATATATCAGAACCACTGTCAAATGGAGGTGGCTGCCTGCAGAAACAGCACCCGGATTGAGCAGGTCCTCATGGCACAGTGTGTGGTGGGTAAGTCACGCATAGCTACAGAAACATGGGCGAGAATGTGGAAGAAACAGCAGTCCTGGAGGAGCTCCCCAAGAGGCATTGCTGTAGCCATCATATTGCTTCTTTTCTACAGCTAAGAACTCTCCAGAAGAGAGAGAAAAGCACTTCCACAGCTTCAGGTTTCCTAACAGGGGGCAGCAGACACCAACAGGTGAGGATCAGTTCCAGGTATTACTCTTTGTGCAAAGGGGCTCTATCCCTGAATTTTTTGCAATTGTCCCATCCTGTCCTGATTTTATGTGGTTAGCAAGCACTTCACAGGGAGAGGGGCTGCTCCAGATTATCTGGGCCTTACTTCAAAACTGAGTTAAAAGTCTGTCTGCCCATCCTTGAATCTGCAGGAAACTGTACCAGCATGAAATTTGCTGCCCCCATTGCTGCTCCCTCTCCTGACTCAGTTGCGTCAGTCCCAAGTCAAAGTGGAATGGTGTTACATTATGGATGAGTTTACAGCATATGATAGGCAAAATGATTGGCTGAGTCCTCTAGCTTTGTTGCCCTCCCCTTCAGCACATCACAAGCTAGCAGAAAAAACATCTGTCAATCTTGGCACTGTTGCAGGATTCAGATACATCTAACATCAGGACTAATATAGGAGAAAAATACCCTGGCAACCTCTTGTTCCTGTTATATCCCCATCTTCATCTTGTCCCTGATCTAGGTTCTCCTGCTTTATGGGCAGCTCCCAACCTCCCCAAACATCTGCCAGACAGCTGATAGGATGGAGGAGCTGCCCAGTAGTGGAAGGGTTTCTCCCGCTTTTCTGCACACTCCACCTCCATATCAGATGTCTTGTCGGTTTGGGGAGATACTACATTTTGATAGGTAGCTAAGTGGAGGGCTCTAGCCATCCGCAAAAGCATCTCCCAGTCGCAACAGTGGTGGTTGGTTTTATGCCATCTGGAGAGGTTCAGAAAGGGAGAGGACAGAAAAGACAGAAGGTTTACCCAATGGCTTTGCATATTATACTCAGCACTTCTAAAATCTGGAGACCACCTCTGACAGCAAGCCAGAACAGTGGCAACATATGGCTTGGTGGCGGACACAGGTGAGCCAGCAAAAGGTTATATACCTTTTTGATGGTGATGGATAGCAACTAACTGGTCTGTGGGGAAAGATCTTCTGCATACATCTTCCCTCTTTGTAGACCCCATTTGGTCATAACACAAGTTGGAAGAAGAGAATCATGAGCAGGAGTAAATTGTTGACAGTGATTCTTGGGGGAAAGCTCAAGAAAACCCTTTTATTTAGGATTTCTCTTTCTATATGGATCCTATATTATATAGGATTTCTCCTTTCTATATTGATACCAACTGCCAACCTGTGGGTTCCTCTATGTTAAGTTTTGGAGGCATAAAGGCTATGATGTTATTTCAAGCCCTGGCAAGATTATACGCCAAGTACTTTTCTTAATATTATACCTACTGTTGTATCCAGTCCTTAGGGAACCACTAACAGGACGGTGATAAAAGAAGCTGTCCGGGGAGCAGATAGGAGGGGCCATGTCTGCATCATTCTGAAATCCACAATAGGTGCTTCTCTGATCATTCCCACAATTGGTCACCAGACTGTCTCAGTGTCAGGGGTAGCAAAGTAGAACAGATTTTACACACCTGGAGGCTGCCACTACATGGTGTTGGAACAAGGTGGTAAGCCTTACTTTAACACTAATTTAGATAGGGATGTTGAGCTTACCTTATTCGTGGGCTGGGCAAGATGAAGTCAATGTCATGAGATGAGGAAAATCTCTGTGGTCAAGGAATAATTGTGAGTGAGGGCAAGTGAGAACACCCCCCTTGTCTTTAGTGTCCTATGGCTTAGAGGTATCTCTTAGTGATCTAAAGGAATCAAGAGCTGACTACAGGTAGAAGCTGCCTCACCCCTGAAATTATTTACCTTACTCCATTTTTGTCCTTCCTCTTCATGTATCTCACAGATGAAGGTCCCACCCTTCAGTTGGACTTCTCCTACTACTCCTATGAATATGAGGCAGATCCCTACACTTCTGAAGGTGATGCTTTTGAACTGACAACAGCAAGTGGTACAGAGGCGCAAGATAACAGCAGATTCCAGGGAGCTGCCATGACCCCTGGGAAGTGAATGGTGAGTGCGGGGAGCAGTGTGCCTGGGGATATGAAACTTGGTGGTTCTCTGCTCCATCCTCCATCTCACAGATGTTCCTCTTTTCTCTCCTGTCATGTTTCCTATTTTTCTGTAGAAAGCTCTTGCCTTTCAGTCTGACAGAGCCAACTACACAAGGAATCCAGGCCATTTTATTGTTCTGTGTCTTGCTGCCAAAGGAAGCTAGAACTTTGTCCTGCCCTTCCCATGGCTCTCACAGCAGCCTTCTTGCCGCTCTCCCACTTGTATTGCACAAGCTACGTAGGGCAAGCTGGAATCCAGACTCTCTTCCGGGGTTGCACATCTCCAGCTGAGCATCATTCAAATTGATTCTTGCCTTCCAGCCAACTCTGCCCTAGCTGTGAATGGAGAAAGGATGACACTGTTGATCTCCCTGCTCCAGGAACTCCATCGCAACCAAAGGATAAGAGTTCCAGGTCATTTCTTTTGTGGATCATATTACTGCACCCCATCTGTCATTCCCCTTTGTTGTCTTTAGCCTGGAGGGTGGAAGAAAGGCTTGGGCTGCCTACCCCCATGCTGTAGGCAGAAGATGTTTCCTCTGTTCAAGGATTGGTCTTGGTGGGATAGGAGTTGGCTTTCCAGTCCCACCTTATCTTCCCCCTCCAGGTTATCCTTCCTCCTTTGCATGCAAGGAAATGCATGTGTCCACCTCATATTTTCCAGAGCACTGGAGCTGGTCTAGTTCTTCCTTCTTTCTCCTCTAAACTTCTAAACCATGGATGGAGAACATGTAGCTTTCCAGGTGTTGCTAAATTATAAACTCTGCACTCCCACCCAACATGGCTAGTGCTGAGAAATTCTACAATTTGTTGTTTGGAAACATCTGGGCCTACAGCTTCCCCTCCTATTTTAAGTCATCTGTGAGTGATGGTAAAATAAGCTATTTATAAATTTGATGGAGGTCAGAGAATATTTTCTAAGGGTATTGCAGCTTGAGAACTACAACTTCCAACCCTAATTCTTCTGCAATGCAGATGTGCCAGCCTTGATGAACCTTATGCAGAATATGTGCCGTACCCAATATTTATTGTAAAACAAAAGTTTTATTCATCCCAAATTATCACTGAATGGAACCAAGTTGACATAGTGACCCCAATCTTCTTGACATATTTTTATCTCTGCTCATTGGGCTTATCTGCACATCCAGGCAGATACCTGTTAGTTTATTCCAAGTGATCAGTAGAACAGCCTGTTCCCCACCTGCTTAGGCGTTGCAGGGGTACAGTTTGCTTTTATGGTTCAGCACAGTCTTTTAGTGAATTGGGAGTATCCAGAGGTTGGATGGGGTGGGAGAAGAAGTTTGATTTAGATATTAATAAAATATTTTATTAAAAATTGATTTTTAAAACAATTGTGACTCCTTTTGGTTTCTTCCTCAGATAATAATTTATGAGTAGGGATCTGAAGCAGGTCCAGGGACAGAAAGCATGAGATTAATGGAGACCGAATCAGCAACAAACTTACTTTTGAAAGTTGTTCTTCAGTCCATTCTGACCTTCATTACAGACATGCTTGGACTTTCCCAAATCCCTGCAGTTAAGCCACAAAATAAAGGAAAAGAACTACATGCTATGCAAGACTTCATAATTAGTGAAGAACATAATTAGGTTTATTGGAAGTTGGAACAGAGCTGAGGTTGGGCAGGTTTTATCCAGCTGTATTGCTTCAAGAACTCCAAGAACAAGCTGACCATTAGCCGCTCCTTCATACAAATTCTTGATAAGACCATGTAAAGCCCCAGCCAGCACCTTTTCTGCTTTCCTTTCCTTGCCACTAAATAGCCAAGTACAGTGCAGTGAAGACAATCATCTCTTCCTCATCCCAGAGACTGGGAGTGTTGGAAGGTCTTTGAGGGCAGTGTCTCCTTTAGAGTCTTCACAGATACCGCAGAATCCTTCCGGTGGCCAAAGAGTCTCCTCTTCACATTTGACCTGAATTCGTCCGAGACATAATAGTAAATGAAGGGGTCAACACAGCTGTTGCAGGTGCTCAGGGCCAGGCTGCCTATGTAGGCCACATAGACCATCCCATCACTCTGGAGGCAGGAGTGGGAGTAGTGGAGGAGCAGCAAGATATGACTTGGGCTATAGAAGGTCATGACTGAGATAAGCATGAGGGCTGTCAGCTTGGCAGCCAAAGCATATTTTCCACCGCTGCCCAACAAGACCCAGAGTGTAACCCCAGAGCTGAGCACCATGATAAGGAGAGGGGTCAGGAAGCCACAGGCAACGAGGATGATGAAGTAATAGTAGTAGTACTTAACTTCCTCTTCCCGTGGCAGGACGTCATGGCATAGGGTCTGTTTGGTCCTATGGAGTGGGAAGGACTGGCGGAAGAGAGTCAGAGGCAGCGTGAAGAGGACAGCCACCACCCAGACTACAGCACAGGTGCCCATGGCAAAGGCAGAGCTGCGGAAGGAACGGGCAAAGAAAGGGTGGGCTACGGCAAAGTAGCGGTCCACGCTGATGCAGGCAAGCAAGAGAATGGAACAGTACATGTTGCCATAGAAGGCTGTAGTGGTAAAGCGGCACATAACCTCCCCAAAGGGCCAGTGGTTGCCCAAGAAGTAGTAAGAGATCTTCAGAGGAAGCAGTAGGCATAATAAGAGATCAGCAGTTGCTAAATTTATCAGGAAAATGGTGGAGGGCAGTTTCTCCACCCGTGTGGTGAGCACCCAAAGTGCCAGAGCATTGGCAGGTAGTCCAATGAGGAAGACAAGGGTGTAGAAAGATGGGAGGACAACAACGATGAGTGGGCCACCAAGTGGAACACGTGAAGTTTTTGAGATACGTAGGAAAGTTTTGTTGTTCTCAATTACTGTCTCCGCTGGGATGGCCCGAGGGCACAGACCATTCTGTTGCATGGGCTGATTGTCATCGGTTCCATTGAAACTATAGTCTAATAATAGAAGGAACCTAGTTAGTGACTCTTAAGTGCTATGAGTCCCCGCTCCACTTCCAGCCTTTTCTGCTTACACCTATTCTTAAAAAAGCAAGTCCCTTGTAGGGGTATCTCCCCTCTCCCCCCCCCCCTTTTTGT